CTGCACCAAAGCTAATATTTTAAAGACAAGGAACATCACGGTCTTTACTTTGCCCATTTGCCTATCTTCTAAGTACAAACCGATTAATCTTCGGCGAGACGTGTCGTCGCGATGTCGTTCACTGGTCCGCCCACGAAACAAGCGAGAGTGTCGTCAAACGATAATAACAATTCGTCATCCTCCGCGCGCAACACTGAACAATTATCTTCACAAGACGAGCAATTTTTAACAAAAGAAGAACGCTTGAACAACGAATATTTCGATTACTTCGATAAAACGCTTACAGACTTGTTGATGCAGCAAAAAACGACATTGGAATTAAATGGGGAAATGTGGAAAAAACTGCAACAACGAGAGAGCGAGTGCGCAAAATTGACTCAAGAAATACAACAAGAACGACTACGAAGGGATCAACAAATCAAAGAGAAGAATAATGAAATATCTTTGTTACGGAAGCAACTTGCGCAAATGAGGGACAGAATGACAAAATTTCACAAAAGATGTCTCGACGTTAATACATCTGACACACAGTGCGATGCAAATCGCGGGAGTGTTGCGTCTCATCTTTTGACATCACATCCATCGGCGGCGAATGCGGTACAGAACAATAACGTTGTCATTGCTTCGCCATCGATGCCTGATCTCAATGAATCTAATAAGTTTATCGATAGAACGACTAAAGAGAGCAAAAAGCGATTACGTTAGCACTGAGGAGACAGTTATCGAAGGATTTATTAATGAAAATGGCAGGATCGACGCAATAATTTGGTGAAACTGAAATTTTTGATAACGAGAGGCAGAATAAACGAAAGACGAGTAAAAATATCGATAAAAGCGATTCATTTTGGATACGGAAAACAAAGTAATGGTTACAATTAATTGTATTCACCCAAAAAAAAAATAATTTTAATATTAGTGGAATCCGCTAAATCTTAGAGGATTTTATTCATGTATATGGCCTCAAGAGGAATTCTCTGAAATTAAGAAGAAAATATTCTGTGCACAATATTCTAATAGTTAGAATAAATTCGTCTTACAGTACAAATCTTACCATATTATGTACCATAAATCTATATTTATAATTCACATTATTTGTACTGCAGTTTTTCAGTATGTACAATGAATAACGGAATGCGGCCTTACTGCGTCTGATTTTGCAAATGTAGCGCAACACTTCAATCAATCGTCACGGCAGAACGCAACGATACACATTGCTTTTCGTGTTACTCATATCGCATGTAAGAGGGCACTCCGCTTAAAAAAAACATATTCCTTTTAATACAAGAGAAAAACCAAAAAATAATATCTAATAGATTTTAGATGAACAGTTCACTTTATTGGAAGAGGAATACTCTTTCTG